TTTCAAGATAAAGGGTCGTTAATCGTAATTTTCATTTCGATGCTATAATATCACTGCTTCATGTCTCAACATAGTTATTAAAGTGAAAGGTGAACTCTTCCTAGAGAGATCGTAATATGAACTCTGTAGGCGCAAGCTATATAGTCTCTCTGTCACTCGCAGCGTTATCGCATATAATATATCTTGTAATAGTTGGGTCGTACCTGAAACTTTACACAACGTATGACGTAGAACAGGTCATATATTTTATGGGCTACGTCGCTTTTTTCGTAGGATCTATTATGTATTTAATAGTGCCTTTTGTCACTATACCCGAAGAGCAGAAATCTTGTAAAAGTAGCGAAGGTAAGAAAAAAAAGGAAGGGAAATAAAGTACCATTGCCAGATCAACCCTTTACTCACGTAAGATGAAACGTGTGTACAATTTACTTATCCCCCTTCTACTGTCGCTGGTGCTAAATTCTGTAATTGCCATCTGCTTGGTGGAACTCATACCTTTAGACTGGTCTTACGTGCTCAATTTTCTTGGTTGCGTCTCTTTTTTCATCGGATCGAGCGCTTATTTAATGGTGCCGTTCTATAATGAGATAAAGAATAAGGAAGATATTTGTCAACCCCTAAATAACACTCGTAGATGTAGCACAGTTACGGGGAAATGAATCAGTATTATAGCTAAACAGTTGTCAAATTTAATATTAATATAATTCTTTGATTTCTGTAGCCCAGCGTAGTACATAAATAGCGCAGACATACCCAAGAGTGTAGTATACGATTGTTCTTATACCGCAAATTTTCACCGGTATAAGCAGTCTGTAATGTGCCGTGAAATTAGCATATCTTTCAGTCCCACTTTATATGCTACCGTTTCTGATTTCGTCGTTTTTATAGGTTGTGTACCGCTAGCTTTAGCGGTTTATGTATTTGTATTGGCAGCGGTAATGCACTTGTTAGATGATCCACAGGTAGTATTAAAAATAACGGTGCGTCGGACACCACCCTTGGCATATGCCCAACCTATTCTGTTTACATGATAACTCTACTTAATAACTCAGATAAGACTGGTTGTGTAGCTGCTGGTAAGGGTAAATACTTGTCGGGTACATAAATAGCCCGTTTGACCTGATTCCACTGCTTGGTGACCCTACCTCTCAGCACCTCTCCTCACTCGACCTATCATCTTAACCCTGTTTTGGGTACCAATCTACTACTAACTATTGTCAGTGACTATACGCGCTGAAACGGTTCGATGTAAGGTTATTTACCATGAAAGACAGATCTTTGAGTGACTTTCATTACCGTTTTCCTCATGCCCATGTTTGGAGTCTTACCTGTCATGTAGATTAGAAGTAGAACAAGTGAGTTTCTAAGTTTGACAATGATATGAAAAGTTTGAGACAAATGTTTTCAGCTATATATAAACACACCTCTAGTGATATAGTAGCCAAATGTTATATGGAACCTCAGCTCGACCAATAAAACAGTTGTCCATGGATTCACGTTATCCGTGGAAAGACTTTGCGGCTCACAGCAAATCGGAACAATAGAAGTCAGAAATAATGCCACGATTAAACACATGGCCGTGAATGAAGTGTCCAACTTCGCTCTTTAATGATGTCTACCACCTTATTGTGAATATTACTACAAATTAAAAACCTTTGCAAAATCCATATAAATTCATTTTAACGGTTTTGGAACTAATTAAATTCCAGTTGCATCATGATTGTCATTCAGAGTATTGATATTATAAAAGTTCGGTGATAAGGTGCTGTTGGTTAACACCAGATGCATCATTGTGAGTTCTAAAATTGAAAATGATAGGTGAACTAGTTTGTTGTAGTCAGTTGTAAGACACCACAGTGGGCAATATGTGTATTCGCATGTGACTGTTACTGTCAGTAGACACGTTACTACTGGTGTTACCATGTCACATTATTATTAGTCTCACATACCTCGTGGTACAATCATTGAACAATAGCTGACGTAAATATTCTAAATATACTACTAGTGATATTAGAAGTTCATGTACACTAATGTGATGAGATTGTTGGTATACGGTTATAGGTTTTGACATCTCATTGATTCCACAGGCAGAACAAACCTATCAAAGAAACTACGTTCATTGAGGTAATCCTTCGTCCAATAATTGTAGGACCGTTATTTTAAAGCCCCGTTAAACGAATGTCGTCACATCACAATAGTATTACGTTTTCATTCAATGAAGATTTCTGCAATATTACATTGTAACGATATTGACTGGTATCAGCAAGTCAATAAGATGACATTAAATTACTAAGTACACCCGCCGATACCATTTGAGATCAGATGTACGTTATTTGGTGGCAATAACGTTGAACTAATATCATGGCGCTACTCTTTGCTGTATGACGAGGGTCCACTATTCGATTCCAGATGAGACTATTATCTATAATAAATATTGCTATGATTAACTAGTATCTAATAGACACTTGTGACAATAGAATTGTTTGCGGAGGTAATTATTTAACATAGTTGCAAAAAAGAAATCATCCCCTCCACCAGTCAGTGTGTTCAACGTCGACACAGAATGTCGAGGTGAAATGTGAAGATATATAATCATACATAGTGTTAAATGGGTTCTGAACTAGGTGTTTTTTTCATAGAAATTTGTAATATAGCAGATAAACACATGATGACGTTATTCACTTCATGCTACACCAGCAATGAATAAGGTGGGAAAACTCATTCTTCAACCGTTCATAACAGTACCACGGTACGTTCTATGGACAGCAAGCAGACAACTTGTTTTATGTAGCTGAAAGACAGATCTTTGAGTGACTTGCTTTACCGCTTTCCTCATGCCCATGTTTGCAGTCGGAGCTGGCACCTAGGTTATAATTCGAACAAGTAAGTTTTTAAGTTTGGCAATGATATGAAAAGTTTGAGACAAATGTTTTCAGCTATATATAAACACACCTCTAGTGATATAGTAGCCAAATGTTATATGGAACCTCAGCTCGACCAATAAAACAGCTGTCCATGGATTCACGTTATCCGTGGAAAGACTTTGCGGCTCACAGCAAATCGGAACAATAGAAGTCAGAAATAATGCCACGATTAAACACATGGCCGTGAATGAAGTGTCCAAGTTCGCTCTTTAATGATGTCTACCACCTTAATGTGAATATTACTACAAATTAAAAACCTTTACAAAATCCATATAAATTCATTGAACGGTTTTGGAACTAATTAAATTCCAGTTGCATGATGATTGTCATTCAGAGTATTGATATTATAAAAGTTCGGTGAGAAGGTGCTGTTGGTTAACACCAGATGCGTCATTGTGAGTTGTAAAATTGAAAATCATAGGTGAACTAGTTTGTTGTAGTCAGTTGTAAGACACCACAGTGGGCAATATGTGTATTCGCATGTGACTGTTACTGTCAGTAGACACGTTACTACTGGTGTTACCATGTCACATTATTATTAGTCTCACATACCTCGTGGTACAATCATTGAACAATAGCTGACGTAAATATTCTAAATATACTACTAGTGATATTAGAAGTTCATGTACACTAATGTGATGAGATTGTTGGTATACGGTTATAGGTTTTGACATCTCATTGATTCCACAGGCAGAACAAACCTATCANTAGAACTAAAGGATAATATTCAGATAATTCATATCATCCTTATTGTAGCTGATATATATAAGGTCAATGTATCCTAATGGGTATAAAAGAACCTTGCATGTATAAGAGGTGTGTAACATGCACATTGCAAAGATATTGTACACATTGGTTTACTAACCCACTATTGGCAATGGTTTGGCATATGTAAGCATTGTAAATCATTCTAACATCCGTAAGGTAGTTGTCAAGCGTGCATTAGTCGCTTAACTACTACAGTGTGTATTCCAACGATCTTCTGCCATTGTTTCTCCACATTTCACTATCAATGTGTACTATATAAACTGTGCAGTGGTGATTGACAATAACATTGGTATACCTGTGAGGTGTTTTAGGTAATATGTATCTCGAATATGGCGAGGCAAAGCTGCTCACTGTAACTACCAATAACTGCATTCTTACCGAATCATGATAACCCACTGGTATATGTAATTCACATTACTAAAGAACGTATAGTGGCACTTAGTGCGGCAATGTTAGCGGATTAATTGTATGTTCCGGTGTCACAATAAACCCAGTATAACCATATAAACAGCCTAGGTCAGTCATTTGGCAAATTCCACTAGAAACATGTTACATCATGCAACCAAGTGATAGTGACGTGTATAACGTTTGCCGTAGAGTAACAGTGTATAGCATTTAATAGAGACTGTAGATTTTTGAAAATGTGACGTTATGCTTCGATTCGGTGTCCCCCTGGCTCAAGCATCGTCGAATAACATTAGAGGCCGTATTGCAATCCAATCCCCAGTGCCGTTATTCCCTGTTTTCTCCCTGAAAACTATGGCTCTTTGGTGATATGGAGCAGTTATCGTAAAGTCCATTGAAGTTTTCAATTTCGACATATTCCCCAAGTAAACCATTCCCTTCTGAGGTGGTTCACCTGATATAGTGACATTGCAAAGTGACACCAACAACTACCAGTCACCCTGTATGACACTTACCTGGTATATCCTCAGTTCAACAACGTTTGTGGTCGCCATCTCGAGTACATATTGACACGTAATTTCCCGGCAGCACTCCTTGGTTTTCTAGCTCTGATAAAGGGCATGGGGAATGTTCATTCCAGTTCGTCCAAAGCATAAAGGCAATGCTGTGTAAGAAAAGAAACCGCTTTGATCATTCTCTCACTTGCTAGAGCATCGACATAATGAGGCCTTTGAGTGACTTGCTAATTCTGCATTATTGAGGTATCCATTAATATAGGTACGACTCCCCATAGTGGATATGGTTATGCTCCTGGTATATGTGTAGTAAGAGTCACACAAAGCGCTGTATTCGTGAGTGCTGTGTCTCCCGTAATATAGCCATAATGGTACCAAGCTTCTTAAGATGTCGAATAAGCAGCATGACTCTTTAACAGAGCATCCTCCGGGTAACCTGAAGGAGTGTATTGATTGGTTATTGAGGTTAACGGAGAAGGATGGGCAAAATGGTGGTGGCGGTCAGAATGGCAATGGTTCCACTGAACTTGGAAAGAAGGTTGTGGATTTACTAAAGAAGGTTGATGATGCCACTGAGAAACTCGAAAATGACCAAAAAGTGCTTAAAGCAGTGACGAAGAATGGTAATGGTACTAATTTGATCACCACCTTGGCCGATAACTTGGCGAAGTTCATTGGTTACAATGGTGGTAACGGTGACCTGGACGGCAAAGGTATTGGTAAGAATAATGGTGGTACTAAGTACACGTCTTCCTATAATGGCAATGAAGCTAAGTGCAAATGGAGTGAAGCAATGAAGCTTGACAACGACCACAACACTTGCGCCTCGATCTTCCTCGGCACGCTCCCCGTGATCTTCTCCGGTCTAAGTTATCTCTATTGGCAATGTAATAAAGGTACTGGTGGTCGTGGTGATCGTTGGTGTAAGGGCACTTATAAAATCCACGAAACCAACCCGCTTGGCATCTATTTCATCGCTTGTGGTTATGACCCAACTAAACTCAATGACAAACAGGCAGGTGATGCTGTCAAAACGTTACTCGGCGAAACTTGTTTCAAAGAAGAATTCAAAAACAACGGCGCCAAAGTTGACGGCCCCTACCCCGTGTACATCAAAGAAGTACTAGACAAAACTAACTATAGCAATACCACTGACCACCCCCTCTCCAGTCTCTACATCGCATCGCAATACTATTTCACATACAAACAAACCCTGCAGAAAGAATGCAATCGTCAACCAACCACCATTAGAGAAATGCTATATTGGTTAATGGCCCTTCCCTATAGTGGGTGTTTCCAATATGCTGAACAGGAGATTAAGAATGGTATTAAAAAGCATGGTAGTGGTATTATACCATTCGAAGGGGGTCCCACCTTAAAGCCTACTGATCCCCTCGACTGTCTTATATCAACCACTTGTCATTACGCCGCTGTGGTCCTATCCACTATACAAGGTAAATTGTGTACACCCAAAGACACAAAGACAGATGAGACAACCAAACCAAATCCACCTAATATACACAGCATCTATTCCAACTCCCACTTCAAATTCTCATACCCAACCACCGTCATTGATTGGTTCAATAAATTGTGGGATATAGTGTATGCACTAATTACACAATTATTCTTCCTCAAAGAGCAGTGTATAACATGTCTATACGGTGGCTGCGGTTGGAAATATTGCAAATATGGTAATGGTATCAAATATGAAAACGTTAAATCTTGGATATGTACTGCTCCGCCCGGTACACAGGGAACACCATCCCAATCACCTCATGACTGCGCCACCGCGAAATGCGCCACTGCCCACATCCAAGCTTGCGGCAAAGACAAACCCTCCCCCCTCCAAGCTTTCCTAACAGATTGTCTAACCGGTTTCCAATGCGAATCTCTTAAAAATAAAAAATGTCAAATTCAAAATGGTCAACTTGTATCGACAAATGGTGGTGACCTTGTGTCTTACTCTTCACATGTTTCCCATCGTCAGTTTCGTTTATATTGCCCAGTACCAATGGGATTCAACAAAGACTGTCTATCACACACCGAACGCACAGGTGACTGTATATGTTGGATACTACATTACTTCACCCAAAAGGACCGTAACTACGTCACTCTCTACAACACAATAATATGTCTAATATGCACCGGGTTACGTACCCCCCGTACAGCAGGTGACCTTTTCTGGTTTTTCTATACCCTTGGACAATATTATGATACTAATAATGGTGGCACTGGTTCTGAGACTCTCAAATCTTCAATAGAATCTCAAATTGAAACGTACTTGTGGGCAGCCATTGCTAACAAACCAGATAAAAATGAAATCGGCACCCGTCTAAAATCTCTAGGTGGTAGTAGCAGTAGTCATAACGGCAGCACCTCCCACGCCGACCTCTTCAGCCTTAATGGTTGTTGGAACACCCCTCCCTGTGCCGGTTACCTCGATCCCATCAGCCGTCGTATGTATTCCATTTACATCGCAACCTCGGCAAAAACATATATATCATACATAGTGTATCTCACAAAAGCTTTGAAAGATTATTTACAACAGTTGCTTGATGAATTCAAAAAAGTATCTTGTACTCACTGCAACAAAGAATGCACAAACAAACCAAAGTGTCACCAAGATCCATCCAAATGCTCCTGCACAAACGTTGTCCAATGCGCCGGCGTACTAGGCGTCCTTTATAAGTTTGGATTCACATATTCAAGCGCCAGTGGATTAAATGGTCAATACAAATCCAAACGCGAGTGGCTCCGCAAATGCTCCCAATTCTCCGACCAACTACAAAATGTCATCACCGGCGAACCATTCAATGACCTCCTCTCAGTCATCAACGTCTTCCTCTACCACATCCGCAAACCCTTCCTCTACTACCTCCTCACGTTCTGGCTACTCGCCATCACCTACCTAACATACTCACTTACAATACCACTCGACGTTCTACACCTACGGTCACACCTACGCACTGCCGCGGTATCACCACTAGTACTACTCACCAACTACGCACAACAACATGACATCACATATTTCAAACCGTAATCTAATACTCACTCTATTCGACAACTCACCTACTCACTCCACTATTACCATCCATCATATAACTACAACCTCCTCTCAGTCATCAACCTCTTCGTCACCTTCTGGCTACTCGCCATCATCTACCTCCTCTACGCACTACTCTTCCCCCTGGACCTCCTTCACATGCTCTCGCATTGGCGTCTCGCCTACACCCACCACCTACTACCACTGCATCTACTCGCCGACAAGATACCCGCACCTACTACATTGTACTTCCAACCGTAATGTAATACTCACTCCATTCTACACCTCACCTACTCACTCCACTACCCACTACTCCACCTCACCTTCTGGCTACTCGCCATCA